TGGGGGTTTTGTGGTGATTGCCCCCCTTGAACAAATTGGGTTGTGGAAATTTTTAAAAAAAAAAAAAAAAAAAAAAAGAGTATGAGCGTTAGTGTTTCCTTGTCCTGAAATAATTTTGCACCCAGATCAAAGCAAGGTGGCAAAAGCTGATTTTAGTGGGTGAAACATGAAGCTGAACAGATTCCACATTAGTTATCCATTCTGTCTGACCATAGGGAATATCAAAGCATAGCAGGAAATTAAGCAGCTGCGAATATGTGTGACTATATAGTGTATATCTTAAATTAGCGTAGGTCTCTGAAGTTTAAAATTGTATTTCAGCTTCAACTTTGACCTGACTTACTGCCAACCATATTTCCTCAAGGTCTGCAGCTCTGCTGAGTATCGCCACAGTGAGGCACAGCAGGACCCTCACGCCCTTTACCTCTGGAGAAATCGAGGAAAAGGGATGATAAGAGTCAAGAGAGACTGGATCATCCCCCCCATCAGAGTTTCAGAGAACAGCAAAGTTGTTCCTGAAAACCTGGTCCAGGTAAAATTGTCACATCAAAGCATTTACATGAGCAGTTGTCAGCAACGCAATCATTTTTACACTCATTGTAAATTACAGGACAAAGGCATCAAACTATCTACATTTTTTTTTTTCACCACAAACTTCATCCTTGAGGAATTTTTCGGGGGGAGAAGGCAAAATTCAAAGTTATGTCAATCAAAGAAAGCCAGGCAGATCCTAAATCAAAGTTAATTTGCAACTTAACAGGGAAGGCAGATTGGATGCGGATGTAGTTTTCACTAATAAATGTAATCATTTGAAAACTCCCCATTTATTTACTCTGGTTATCTTTATCTTTTGTAGGGTTTAAGTTCCTGAACTAATTTCTCAGTGGTAGGCGCCTCTGAGTTTTAGAAGAATATACCAAAATGTATTGAATGTTAAGAAACTTAAGTAAAAAAAACTACTCAGATTTAACTTTTTGTACTTAGTCACAATGTTCTAAACAATTCAGAATCGTTTAATGGAATAATTTGAGCTGAAATTATTTATTTATTTCAGTTTTCATATGTTTCCAGATGTGAAAACATCAAGTTCATCCATGACGTCAGCTTTGACGCTAACGTGTGTGATGTAATAAATGTTGATCCAGAACCACAAAGTAAATCCATTTTATACTTTATTTTAGTTTGTTTTAATTACATTATTTGAAGGCGTCATCAAGGTGAGTGATAAATACTTTTCTGCTGGAGTGAAAAAGGTGTTTAATGGGCAGATGAAATATAAAAATCATGTTAGAATTGACGCAGACTGCTGGTGTAAATCTTTCAGCTCAAGCAGAGCCACTGAGTTACTTTTAAAAAGTGCCGTACAAACAGATCAGAAGAAATGGAAACAAAATCCAGAAAATGACTCCTTGTTATTATTAGTCTGAAATCCCGAAGGACCTTCTGAGTTTAAACACTCCAGACTTGCTGTCCCCCGTGTTCACATCTGGTGTTCGGAGCAGATTCTCTGCAGTCCTGCTAGCCGGCTTCCTGCGGGGTTTTAATGACCTGCAACTTTTTTCTTGTTTTTCTGCCCAGATCAAATCAGACAAGATCTTCTCAGGAGAGGTGATCTACAAGCTAGAGGGACCAGGGGTGGACCAGGAGCCCAAAAACCTGTTTGAGATTGATGATAAAACAGGAATGATCAGGAGCAAGAGGCCGCTGGACAGAGAGCAGCACCGCAGCTTTACGGTAAGACCTCATTAAAGAACGATCACCCAGCGCAGCTCGCCATACACCGTAAAGCGTTTCTGTAGGAGTTTGCATGTGTTTCCAGTTCCTGTTTCCGCCTGAGTTCACATATCATTGTGTCAAACACCAGCACAAACGGTTAGAGGTCAGTTTTCCCGGGCTGTTACGGGCATCTCGGGAGAGATATCCGAGCATTTCATGAATGTATGTTCACTTTATTTTTCTGCCAGGTCATTTCTCATACATATAAAAATACTTGTCTGCTGTTTGATTTGTCCTTTGTGGAAAACCTGAGGAATAACTTCATAAATCACACATGTAATTAAAAAACACTTCTTGCTGTGTCTCTGTGTGCAGCTGAAGGCATTTGCCCTGTCCCCCAGCGGAGAAAGACTGGAGAACCCCACAACCATCGAGATAGTGGTGCTGGATCAGAACGACAACAAGCCCGTTTTCACCCAAAAGCAGTTTTTTGGGTCAGTCCAGGAGTTCTCTGTCCCAGGTACAGGAAGACATTATTCAAAGGCTGACAATTCTTGTCTTTTTGTTGTTCTTTAAAAAGTCACCTTAAGTTTTAAACACTATATTGTCACCCTTATTTAAGGCATGTGATTTAAATACATACAACCCCAAACAACAAGTGCTTTATAAAATGTGGCAGGTTTTTCACTGTATATCATGTGTTTTGTATCCATTAAGTAAATAGTTTTACATAAATGTCAGGTCAAAAGTAACAAGGTGAAAGAGGCGTGTGTCAGGAGTCATGATAAAGCAGCAGTTCAATCCAGTCTCCTTCAGCCTATTGTACTCACGTTAGCTCATTATTATTGTATTGTTTTTTTTTTGTTGTATGCTAACATCTAAATTACTACTCTGATGAGATTAGATGACCAGACATACATATAAATCACCTAAAAATAGACCCCAGATCCTCTGTAGGAAGCAAAGTGTAGCACAAGGGGCTGATTTTTACCCGGCTACAAGGTGCTGGTGTAAAAAACTTATTCAGGTGTGAAGAAAGACTGAGTTCCACTGAAGGACTTAACGCAAAATAGTAAAACCTTTGCTTTTCAGATTTTTTTTTCTCGCATTTACATACACTTGCAGCATGTCACTCATGAGATCATTTGTCATGGCGATTAGGTGCTGATTTTAAAGCCCATCGGAGGAACAATGTGAATCATACTCATTGTAAGAACTATCAGCAAACATTGCGATACGGCAACAAAACCAATATCAGTCAACATATCTTGAACAATCTCACCATTTCTGAAGCAATTTGTATCCTATGTTGTGTCTTCGTGCATCTAGCTGCAACTTCAGACACAATAATCAGAGCAGCTTAATCGTTCCACTGCTAAGTCAAACACACAATTCACTCTCTGGCTGAAACTTTCAAATCTCCTCGACAGGAACATTGGTGATGTCAGTCTCAGCCACAGATGCAGATGACCCGATGACAGAAAACGCAGCGCTGGGCTTCTCCATCGTCGGTCAGGAGAGCATTCCTCCCAATGCTGTAAACAAGACTATGTTTGGTATTAACAACCAAACAGGAGCTATTTACACCAGAGATGTGGGCCTGGACCGAGAGGTAAATAAAACACAGAGATACTGGCGGATAAAAGGAAACACCGAATTTGAACATTGTGCAATGAGGACTGTATCGAGGATGAGCACTACCATGTTCCTCTTGGTTTGTACATTTTAAACATCAGTAAAACGACACATTAAGAAAACTTTCGAGATCTGGCACCATGGTGGGACACTAACAACCTGATTTTAAAGATCAGAAAGATTTGTACACAGAGCATAATGAATTATTGCTATAATCTCTTTTCCAATATTGACTATTAATCAAATACTGTAAATATGGCAGAAATGAAATATTCTTATGCATGTGCAATGCATTTATTCTCCTGACCTCTGGCCCAATAGGTTTTGTTGAATAGTTATAATCACGGCTTGATTGATTCCTCTCAACATGCTGTAATGTGTTCCAGGTGGTGAAGGAGTTCAAGCTAAAGCTGCGGGTTGCTGATATGGGGGGCGACGGATTAATCAGTGATGCTGTAGCCATCATCACCGTATCGGATATCAACAACCATGCACCCCAGTTCCACCCTACCTCAGTGAGTTTGAGCTAATGGATCACAACCCAATGTGGCTTCCACATTGTTACTGTATAAGCTGGAAGCAATGACATTAGTTAAATCTTCTGATTTGTGTTTTTGGCTCTGCCTGTAGTACAACATTGAGGCACTGGAGAACGTTTACAACGTGGAGATTGGCCGAGTGAGCGTGACAGACAGAGACGACCCTGGAACAGGAAACTGGAAGGTCAAATACACGGTGTCTCATGACCCATTTGGAAACTTTGCCATCCAGACAGATCCAGTCACCAACCAGGGAATCCTGACTGTGGTGAAGGTATGCGACCCGGGAAGCATTTTCTAGGGACGGATTAGGATTGATGGCATTGAAGCATTTAAGTGACTCAAGATCCAAACATTGCTTTTTTAAAACTTTTTATTCACTTTAATCAAATTTGTACTTTGTGTTTGAAATGGAAAATGTTTTAAAACTTAAAAGTTTAAGGGGAGCTTTAGATGGGTTAAAGCCTCACAAGATTTGGATTGTTGAAAAAAATAAAAAATAAGTTACAGCTATATGCTCTCCCGTTTTCTTGATAATATTTGATTTCTTAGGAATTTGTCATTTTCTCCTGTTAATGTACAGAATTTATAAAAATTAAAACCCACATTAGCTGGCAGGAGAACAAATGAAAAAAAATAGGTTATGTGAAATTGCCTGTGACTTTGCAGACTAAGAACAGTTTTTTGTTTTTTTTTGCAAAGCACAAGATTTTTTAGAAAGTACCTTTATAATTTAAAATTTCAAGCATCTTTCAAAATAGTTTCAGAGTGACAATCTGTGCAGCACAGGAAAGATTTTCCTTCCCTAGACAGCAGAGCTTGTCAGACACAACTAAATACTACCATCTACTGGTTCATATGTAAACCAAAAGTTGAACAAGCAATGTTCTTTGATGGGGTTTATGTTTTTGCATTATGCTTTTAATTGAAATTTACATAACATAAAGTAGGTAAACATGTTGTATACATCCCTACTGTCCAGCAGCAAAGCTATAAAAATGATCTTTTCTGTGCTGTGTTGCAGCCCCTGGATTATGAAGTCAAAAGGGAGCACACCTTGATTCTTACTGTGGAAAATATCAATCCTCTGAGCATCAAGGCGCCCAACTTACCTCTGAGCTCTGCCACTGTGTCAGTCACAGTTGTCAACGAGAATGAGGCTCCGTATTTTAAGGAGAACCCCATACTGATCCAGGTCCCCGAGAACGAGAAACCCGGAAAGCTGCTCAAAAGCAGCATTGCCTCAGACCCAGACCATTCTGAACTGAGGTAAGTACGGACCTCAGCACCTCAGAAGAGACGAATCTCCACATATCAATAAGGAATATTGACTGATTTTCCCATTCTGTTTGTGGTATAAGATTTGAAATTAGCCAAGACCCCGAGGGGTGGCTGGACATCAACCGAGAAACGGGAAACATTTTCCTCAGAAGGTCCTTCAACATGAGATCCCCACATGTCAAAAACAACATTTACAGTGCAGTCATCAAGGTTACAGGTCTGTTCACATAAACAACACAGACATCTCTAAAGGTGTTTTTTTATGGTATCGGCAATAAACAATCACTTACATTTAGAATCAACAACAAAAAAGAAGCTGATAAAAAAAATCATCCTCCTTAAGTAAAATCTGCAAACTTTGAATTCACTTTCAAACTGTTTTCAGAGGTACTTAGTAAACGAGTACATGTACATCATATAAAGCATACAGTAACTGAGAAAGTATCCCTCCTAAATTCAAGGGCTTCATTCATTTTGTACATCTCTATGGTTAAAAGGATGTACTTACCTTTAAAAGTTTAATAAATAATAACTTTATGGAACTTAATCAACACATTAACCAATGATAGTATTAAAGCGCTTCTGCTGCCACCTAGTGGCCAGAGTTATGCCAGTTGTATCTAATTTGGCTGAAAAATTGACCAAAAACTGTTTAAGTGTTTTGTAAGCTATGTACTACATTTAAGTGAATAACTTTTATTTAGTTTAGGACATGTTTGACAGGATAATTTAGTTTAAATAAGGCCGTAAGGAGTTAAGAGTATATGACTATATTTGTGGGTCATTAGTTTGACGTGCTTCACAATGTCTGCCTTTAGAAATTGTGGGGTTTTAAATGTCTGAAATGTTTATGATCACATATCTACGTTGTAGATTTTCTACTGTTGTGATGTTTTCTATTCATGTTCGCTTGTGCAGATGCCGGTGGTGCTTCAGCCTCTGCAGCAGTGAACATCATCCTGGAGGAAACCAATGACTTCCCTCCCCAGCTCCTCCCTTTGAGCCGTTTCTTATGCGCGGGTGGCAGCAGAAGGACTCCTGGTTTCTTACTAACTGCTGTGGATGAAGATCGTTCTCCACATGCCGCTCCCTTCATTTTTGTCATTCCTGACTCTTCGTTGTCAAACTGGACTGTCACTAAAGTCAACGGTAGGAAAGTGAAGTGTGTGGGGGGGGGCGTAGATACATGACGAATCCTGTGTCCTCATATTTTTTTCTTTCTCCATATTTGCTGCTCCAGATACTCATGCCATCCTCCGGCCCACTGTAGAGCTGGAAGCTGGAGAGTATGCAGTCACAGTGTGGGTCACAGACTCCGGCAGCCCATCTCAGAGCGCTTCAAGTCAAGTCAACGTCACCGCATGTCTGTGTGACTCCTATGGTGACTGTAGATCTGAGGCAGGGGCTTTCTTAGGCTCCAGAGTGGGAATCAGCTTCATTGCTCTCATTATTATCATTGCATCTGGTGTTCTTCTACTTGGTAAGTGCCGTGCTGAAGAAATACTTTTTAAACTCTGAAGAAAGTAATGAATCCAGTTCCTTTTATCAAAAGATCAGATTGAAGGAAGCTGAAGTGGTTTATCCAAGAAAAATGAAGCTCAGTGTAATCTACTGAACTCTCTAACAAACTTATCAATTTCTACTCTGGTTCCTACTCTAAGCATATACCTGAAGTGCTTTTTAAATGTGTGTTTTACTTTTTTAAGCTAATCAGCGTCATAGAACTTTTAATTAGGAAACCATAATTTCCTGTTTCCAGTGGATAAATGACATGATTCAAAAACACATTCCTCTCAGCATCTCTTCAACATTAGAAAAATAACAAAACATATCTGTCAAGTAGGCAGATGTCCTTAAAAAAACTAAAAAAAGAAAAGTCAGGAGATAACTGCAAAAACAAAACAGCTACTCACGTAGATCATGTCCAGACTTTCATTTACATTACAAAAAGAAACTTGGAACTGTGACAAACAAGCCTGGATGAGATGTGAATAGATAGTTTAAAGTGGATCTCAGGTCCACTGAGATGTAAACCCTGATTTCTTTTGTTAGTTGCGGTAATACGATCAAATATGAACTGACCCCTTCTTGTTTGTAGTGCTGCTATTCCTGGCTGTGGCTATAAATGCCTGCGGGAGACGTCACCACATAAAGAAAGGGTCGGGTCTGCTTGTCGGGGAATCGGAGGACGACATACGCGATAACATCCTCAACTACGACGAGCAGGGAGGCGGTGAGGAGGATGAGGTAAGGCTCGCCGGGAGACGTGACGGTGACCTGCTGAGGTCGAAGCTTGCAGATCTGCTTTTCCCGCCTGTGTGTTATCAGTGCAACATCAAAGCGCACACGCTTCCTCGTCTCACCTTTGACAGAACGCCTTCAACATTGACCTGCTGTGGAACCCCCGTGACGCGCCTCCCGCCCCGTGGTCCTTCTACCCGGGGTCTGGCCTTCCTCGAGGCAAGCAGCCCCTCAGGAAGGACGCCCCACACAACCTGCCCTCCCCCACTTACCCCCGGCGGCCTCCTGCAGATCCCGCTGATATCGAGGACTACATCAACGAAGTGAGACGCTCCAGCTATCACTCAGCTTTCAAAGGCAAAAAGCCTCTATAGCTGAACGATAAACTTAAAAACTAAATACCAAAGAGGCTCAAATGAGTATTTTCCAAATGAACAGATTTTGTGTCGAAAATGATCAAAAATGAATCTTTATTCATAATTAACTCAGTTAGCTCAGTAAAATCAAGAAAGAATTTGACCTCTTGCTTAAAGATTAAGTTCTACTTACATTTTCATACAGGAAATGAGGTTCACTGTGGAAAGATGAGGAAAAAATAAATAAACGATAAAAATGCAACATCCATTATTAAATGATGTCCCAAATGGTGTTGAACATTAAGCAGGCTACACCAAAAATCTGTTGAAAATTGCAACCTGTCGTTCCAGTTTTCTTACAACTTAGTAAACTTTTTGTTTTTTTGCACTTCTCAGGGCTTGGAGGCTGCAGACAACGATCCCAACGTGCCTCCATACGACACAGCCCTGATCTACGACTTCGAGGGAGAAGGCTCAGTGGCCGGCAGCCTCAGCTCCATCGCTTCGGGCAGCTCGGACGGAGATCAGGACTACGATTACCTCAACGACTGGGGACCACGGTTTCAGAAACTAGCCAATATGTACGACCCACGTTAAAGCCAACAGAACAGGATCTGTGGAGTTTAGGGCACACTTCATGCTTGAGGTGATTTTTTTTTTTTCTTTTCTGGACACATTTGAAAGTTATTTGAGTCCAACACAGGATCCTAAGAAAAAGCGAATGGGACTTGAATCCAGTGTGCCTTATTTGAGTTTATTTGAACACAACCTACAAGGTGACTTAATGCAGCATTTTGTGAAGTGAGTCATTCAAAGTTGTGCATGCTGAATGCAGAATGTCTGTCCATCTTCTTGCAGCTTACTAATGATGCACTAAAAAGGCATGAAATATTTGGTTTTTTTTATGTATTTCTTCTTTTTTTATATATACGTAATTTTATAAGATGAGTCTTTTAATATTTTTGCTTTTGTGTTCAACAACAAACCCTCCATTCCAGCATTTGTTCATCTTTAAGGGAGGTAGCTCTACAGACAGCAACATGGAACATTCAGAAATATCTTACCTGGAGGTAATGAGTTGAAACGTTTTTCTTTTTTTTTTTTTAATAAATGTTGCCTAAATTCAGATTTTACTGGTGTCTTTAAAATAAAGTGTTTTTTTTTTCTCATAAAGCTGGCTTTATTTACTCATGTGCACTTGTGTATTCATACATTACTTTATCTGTTTAGACCAAGAATAAATACTGCCTGGAAAGTGGTGCGGCTTTTAAATATTTATTTAAATACTTGGCAACACAATTTTGTAATCAATTTACAATCCCTCCTCATAAAATAAAACATCCTAATTGATTCCACCTTTTTTCCCTGTATAAATGAGCCTCTTGTATACAACCCAATTAAAATGACAAAAAAAATAAATAAATCCTTCACTAAAATTGTGAATTATCTTCAGTGAAGTTTGTGGGTGAACTGAATGAGATTGACAGAAGCAGAAATGAAAAAGTAATATCGCACTTAGAGGAGAGCGAAAGTCACATCAGCATTTATATTTTAATTGTTTTCAAAAACCTTTAAAGGCTGAAAGGTCGTGCCTTTTCACTCATCTATTGTTTGAAAGCAAAAATTCACACAACCCTTTAATAACATTACGCAGTATTTAGAATGACTTCATGCTTGCTAAACAACATAAAGATTTATATGCTATCCTTAAAGGGGCAGTCGCGTTTTTTCTTTTAGTGCTCGCTTTAGCAATAAGTTTACTGGTTTGTACGCAGTTTCACTTACACACATAGAAATGTGTGTCCACTTTGCTGCAGAATGATGCTTTTATGTAAATGTGAACTTTTTAAGTTGAATGTCAATGAAACTTTGTCGGCGAGCGTAGCTTGTGTTTATAAATGGCCCTATATCATCTTTACTGCCTCTTGCAGATGTGAAGAGCCGTCAGTTCCCTAAATTCAAACACAAATCTGCTACTGTACATTTGCATAAACAGATGTATATATATATATACAAATGGTATAAGAGAAAACATTATCTACGTTGCATGAGTGTCAACTTTGCATGATTTTGTAAATAATGGCAATTTAATGCAACGTTGGCATTTTTAATGGACTTTCATTGCGACTTTTAGAGCAACTTTGCATTAAAAGTGTCATTATTAACCGAATGACACTTCATGACAACAGTCACAGACATTCATAAAGACTTCTTTATATTCATGACAGGTGTTATGTTTATGACAGTGTCATGTCAGTCTTATTCACACCCCATCAAATAAAGTGTTACTAAAAGTTTTTCAACAAGATCAGACTAAATGTTGTGTTTCAAATGTCTCCGCTTTGAATAGGGGCTACACAAGTAGACTGTTGGTAAAAGTGTAATTTTTAAGACAGAAGTAATTACAGAAACTAACATAATTCATTTAAGGCTAATTGTTAATGTAGCTCTGACTCCATGAAGACAGATTGACGAGCCATTCGGATCCATCGCTGTCTTAAATAAAACGCTGCTTTCATTGACATTCCCAGGAAATAACTTGGGATAATTGTTACTTGCACAATATGGTCTTAAGTGGATTGAAGCGCACTTGGGAAAAGTTGGGAAATTGTTTATTTGACACCTGATGCTAAATAATACCAAAAAGCTTAAAAATTGTTGCAACAGGAAAGAAAATACTGCTCAAAGTTGAGCAAGTATGGAAAACTTACCACCAGGACACGTTAGAGAGTTTGTATGTCCTTTACAAATCTGTTTAAACATTGATTGTATCCGTCTATGGATTTCAGGCGCCAAAGCTCCTCCATGGTGTACAGTACATACACTTCGTATTCACTTGGCAGTTAACTATATTGATGTAGGAGATCAGAGACAGCTTGTCTGACATATTTTCCTTCTCAGGCTCAACATACAGGTCGATCCCGACAGCAGCCATTTTGTTGTATCTTTTTCTCGCGGTCAAAAGTGTCCACATATTTTCTTTTTATTGGTCTCGGAGCCATTACCCCACTATTCTTTGTACATACGTTTGCCTGCTAAAATGGCGCTGATCACTTCCTGTTCAGACTGTTGGGAACTATGTACTGACCCTTAGCACGTGACAGCTGGCTCTTCAGAAATCTGTCCGCTCCGCCATGATGGATATCAAAACAACCACTGCGCTCCTTTGAGGCATGTCAAAAAACAGCCTGTCTAAAATTGCTTCCATTTAGTTGATTTCAATTTAAAAAATGGTCATGGAGAAGGTAAGCGTGTAACTATTCGTAACCATGGAGACAATGCCCCACCATCATGTAGCCTAGCATGTATGAAAAAACTGATTAGCATCTCATTTTTTGCACATTTTTAATGTTGCTCCAGTGCAAGGGGAAACTATATTTATGACATAGTGATATAAATCATTTGGTGTGAATTCAGGCAAAGTCAATAATTTGACTTCCTGATGAACGTTTCTTAGGTTCATCAGGAGCGAGGAAGTATGGGTCAGTTTGGAAGCAAGCTATTTCCAACTTTTTTAAGTATCACCGTCTATAAGCCCCAATCAGGTTTGTTACATTCACAGACAAATTAGGTCCACTCAAACAAGAAGAAGCGATGAATAAATTAGTAAAAACAATTTGGGAAAATAACTTGAGTCTCTCTGTTCAATACTCCCGCCCTTCTCTTCCGACATTCATCATGGCGGCTCGATTGATTAAGTGACGCAGTTGCAAAGGGTTAATAGCTTGAGTCATGCAGAACTGATCTGACAAAGCGGCATTCGAAGACTGGAGTCATGAAGAGAGATCTGATCTAGGGAATGATTTCTCTAATGTCAAAAAACACACTTCCCTGTCTGGAGAATTTGGCTGTGAAAAGAAGACAATTGAGTCTAAAAACTCAACTCCTGGTCTGACGAAAGCGGAATTAGAAGACTGGACCCATGAAAAGAGATCTGTCCTGGAGAAAGACTGCTCTGATCTCAAAGAACAAACTTCCCCGGCTGGGAACGTTTGCGGTAAACGTTCGCCCCCAATGCTCACATGGGCAGGAGTTGAGTATGATGAAGAGGATGAAGACTCAACTCCTGCTCTGACAAATGCGGCATCAGAAGACTGGACCCATGAAAAGAGATCAGTCCTATAGGAAGATTGCTTGGGTCTCAAAGAACAAACTTTCCCGGCTGGGAATGTTTGCGGTAAACGTTCGCGGCCAATGCTCACATGGGCAGGAGTTGAGTATGATGAAGATGATGAAGACTTTTTTGGCCCTGCTCTGACAAATGAGACATTAGAAGACTGCAGCCATGAAGATTGCTCTGATCTCAAAGAACACACTTCCCTGGCTGGAGAATTTGACTGTGAAAATAATACATTTGATTCTAAAAACTTAATTATTAATCTGCGGCATTAGAAGATTGGACCTATGAAGCGAGATGTCTCCTAATGAACAATTTTGCCAAAAGTCCAAAAAAGCGGACTTCCTCGGCTGTAAAGTCTAGACGTCAAGCTGGAAAATTTTCTTGTTGGCCATTTTGACTGACAGTATGTCATATCTGCTGCGCTCCTCTTGATATTTCGAATGGGTGAAGGGCCCCGGGGATGGATGAGATTTGGCCAGAGTTCCTTAAGGCTCTGGATGTTGTTGTTACCCTGCCAGCATGCCTAGGTGGGCCCCATACAGGGTAAAGGAGGGCAGACCAGATGGGTCCCATATGGGTTTGTCTGCAGGGTCCACGGTGGCCCCACATGGGTTTGTCCATGTATGACCACAGCCCACATGGGCCATACATGGGCCCCTACATGGTGGTGGGCCCACATGGGTTTGCCCATTTAGGGCCCACATAGGCTGTGGCCCTACATGGGCAAACACATGGTTATTATGGAACTCGCGGACAAACCCATATGGGACCCATATGTCTCCCCTCCTTTCCCCCATATGGGGCCCACCTAGGCATGCTAGCAGGGTAATTACCTGCTAGCATGCAAGTAATTACCTGCTTCAATTTCCTGTTTCCATTCAATTCAAAAATACTTTGTTAATCCCAAAGGGAAATTACATGCTGTAGCTCATAAAGATTCTTCAAAGAGCCATTGAAGATGGTGATGGCTGTCCGCAGGAAAGATCTCCTGAAGCAGTCTGTACCACACTGTACCTGATAAAGCCTCTGACTGAAGATGCTCCGCCTTCCCAAGACAGTCTCGTCAAGATGATGGTCAGGATTGTCCCTAATTTTCTTTCCTTTTAATGCCATATAAATATGAGACAGAAACATGGATTCTGTCTATTGATTTATAGATTAATAGTTTTACTGGACAGAAATTACAAAGAACAAATTTGGTTCTTAATCAAATCCTAATGAGTCAAATTGAAAGTGTCATGGAGTCATCAGCCTCATGAAATTAACACTGACATGAAAAGTAATATTGAAGAAATAAATATATCAAATCTAATTAAAAACATAAGTGACAAGTTATTTACTGTTATGGTCTGTAAGATATATTTATTCTCAGGTCTCAACAAACCCATGGCACTTCAACAATATTATTTTACCTTTTATCTGGAAATAGTGTCTGTTTATTCTTGCCAAACAGTTCTCTATATTAACTATTGATTGAAACGTCTTGCCATACCAGTTTATTCCTCTGTATTTAGTTTCTTAGTTTATTCTTGCATTTTGTTCTTCATTCATTTCCATTTAGTTTCCTTTGATTAATATTATCCTCTCTGGGTTTATTGCTATGTCCACTTTAGTTTCTTTCCTGTTGCTAGATTCATTTGATCATTTATTGACGCTCACCATCAGTAATCTTCACTCATCACCTGCTGCGCCGCCTAATCGTCATGTTTCACATCATGTGTTGATTTTTCACTGTTCAGCGTCGGATTCTCTGTTTCGTCGCTCCGTTTTATGTCCCGCTTCTCCTGTTTCAGAGTTTTGCGCAATGTGCGCGTCTTCTTCTTCTTCTTTTTTTTTTCTTTTTTTTAACCCCATAAGGTGCAGGGCGGCCGGGAAGCGTATCGATGGGGAAAAGGCAGACTGACATAAACCTTTTAAAGCAACGGAAACAATTTCGGTATTCTGATTATTGAAATTTAAAAGTGCTGTGGTACCGTTGTTCTATCACACCCGTTTCATACCGGACCACTTAGAGCACCGGTGTTAACGCTATAAAATTAACACCCTCTATCGTGGTATCACCCATGGAGGGATTTCTTTATTTGAATGGGTTCATTTTTCAGAGGCATGCAAAGTGAGGGTATCGTGATT